GTACAATTGACAATTTTTTTCCCCTAAAACAGCAAAGAATATTCCACTTTAATCCACCATAATAAAATTCATTTACTACTATCTATTCTAGATTTATACTAATTTTTTTTTTTCATACGGCCTTTAAAACATGCACAAAATACCGTTTTTAATAATTATTCTTAAGAATCTTCAAGTTTCTTCAACCAATAAATAAAAGGAAATTGCTGATAGTAAGCATTTCCCTCACAACTTTTTTCACAGCTTCCTTACAAATGTAGGATCCGCGATTATTTTAATCGTGGACCTCACCCCTTGCATGTGTGTGCACTGTGAACCTTGCTATGAAAAAAACTGTACACATAGCATGATTCTAAATAAAATGTCTATCACTAATAGATTTGTTAGTACTAGATGTAAATGCAACGGTACTGGTGTAGAGAAACATCCATTTCAAGTTTCATTAATGTCACCTGCCCACAAATGAATGGTCTGTATCATCTTCAATCGAGTAAAAACTGCAATATTCCCACCTGCGTTTTCGGAAATTGCGCTCGAAATTCGAGTATAGCCAAAAAACCATTGATATTTCGAAATTTTCATAACGTGATGTATCATACACTGTCGAAAAGCTCTATCAATCTACTTTCCAAATTTTCATAGCGTGATGTATCACACCCCGTTATTTAAATTATGAATCTCAGTAACATAAAGTTACGTCTCAATGACTCAATCTCACTCAAAAAACAATTATTCTAGTCCGACAGGGTATGACAGTGATATTTTTTTGGAGGGAAAAAACACGCATCGGTCCAGCACGTGGGAGAGAGAAAATGAGGCTTAATTAATTATTTATGCACATAAATGGAAGGAAGATGCCATTTACACGCAGCGACCATTTTTCTGCGCTGAGCATTGGTACTCCGATCGGCACGATTGTAGCTACGATTACAAGGCTGCCGGACGAGAGGCCATCGCGAAGGCAAATCCGTTGGTAAAAGCAGCCAAAATTGTCAAGATCTGAGCGTCAAAATTATCAAATATACACGCTCACGTCAAATGGGAGGAAAAATTAAATCAAAGTAAAAGTTTAGTGTGTTATTATTAAGAAGAAAAACAAAGAAGCCCTCTTATGGCAGAGTGTTTCTTATGGATTAGTCTTCAATTGTATGCCCTATATTAATTTAATTTATTTCAAATTTTGAATCCTAGTAAAAGTTTTTGATTATGAACAATTACGTTTGGTTTGAATGAGATGGAAATTGACACTTTTAGATTCAAATTTCTCGTTGCTGTTCTGTTTAGTCGGGGAATGGTGAAGATGAATAATTTTCTGATTTGAAATATGATCTGTGTTGACCTCCAAAAATGGCTCCTCCACGTGGCCAACTTATAGCTACTCCACGTATTCCTCCCTGCAAAATGAACAAATAGTCAGGTGCACACGGCCGGAACCGACGGGGGTGGCGGCCGTATACACTCCGATGGTCAAGTCAGGTTTGGGTGGTCGAAACAGTGCCCTGGGGCTACACAAATCAATCAATAAAGGGGGAGGAGAATATATAAACTTGTTATGGAATGCTATGTATTGAGAGTTTCATTACCTTTGCCTCTTGCCAAACTTTGGGTATTTATAGGTGGTATGAACCGTGGGATGTGGAACACGTGTATACATCTGACGGTATGAAGCGTCTGCTCATAGGCGTCAATCAGCCGCGCTTGTAGAGTGGGCGGACAGTTTGTTTCCCCGAGTTGAATTGACATAAAGTTGATAAGTCACATCAAATAGCCTCATGGGGACGTCAAATCAATTTAAACCTTATATGCAGAACAAATCTTAAATTGGCGACGGATCTTCTAACCGGGGTCCACTTGAACCCGACCTCGAAGGTGGGATACTTCGGCAGATCAGTAGTAGGAATCGATGTATCACTTCGGAAAAGCTTCGGGAAGGTCGGAGTGGTCTATTTGATCTCGGCTTCGGTGGTGAGATGACACTTCGGTATCGAGGCTCGTAAAATGAGGCGTAACAGTAGTCCCCCAAATCCGGGAATGAATATTTATATTATGCGTGGATTTGTTTTCCTGACCGGACCGCGGCGTGGGGGTAGCTGAAACTTTGTAAAGCATGGGAGGAAACGCAGCGCCGAGGCGATGAGCCAATGGGACGTTCGCGTCAGGTGCGTCCAAGCTTCATAAAATTTTAGGGACTCGTCTCGCACCGAAGCGTTGGCAGGAAAAGGTCGACGCATGGGGAGATTGCTGAAACTTTGTAAAGCATGGGAGGAAATGCAGCGACCGAGGCGATGAGCCAATGGGACGTTCGCGTCAGGTGCGTCCAAGCTTCATAAAATTTTAGGGACTCGTCTCGCACCGAAGCTTTGGCAGGAAAAGGTCGACGCGTGGGGAGATTGCTGAAACTTTGTAAAGCATGGGAGGAAACGCAGCGACCGAGGCAATGAGCCAATGGGGCGTTCGCATCGGGTGCGCCCAAGCTTTGTAAAGTTAGGGGACTCGTCTCGCACCGACGCGTTGGCAGGAAAAGGTCGACGCGTGGGGAGATTGTTGAAACTTTGTAAAGCATGGGAGGAAACGCAGCGACCGAGGCGATGAGCCAATGGGGCGTTCGCATCGGGTGCGCCCAAGCTTTGTAAAGTTGGGGGAGGAGATCATCCGAGGCGACCCAAAAGTCCAATGATTTGACAATTGTTGCGTGTTTCCAAGGTGACAGTTGGGTACCATGCCCATTCTCCTAAAAGGCTGCTGCGGTTAGTAATTATTATTGACGAGTGTTTGTAACCGAGGCGACGCGTTTCAATTTAGCGCGAAAGCCACAGCGATATCTTGGGCGTAGATCAAATCTGGCATTTCATTTCAACGGCCGGGATTGAGGATACGACGAACGGTTTAGATTGATCGTATTTGAATTCAACGGTGGAGATCGGACTTGTCTTTCCTATAAAAGGTGAACTTTGGTGGTTTATCAGAGTTTCTATCTTTGCCAGACGAAAACCAAAATTTGCTCCCAAATTTCCGGCGATTTTCGGCGTTTTGCAAGCAACTCCGGCGAGAGAGAACGATACTTCCGGCGATCCTGCACTATTTCCGGCTAGGAAAAACTTCCAAACCCGTAAGTTTCAGTACCCATTTAGACTGTAAAAAAAAAATTTCTTATCGAATGGCCTCGGAAGGGAGTTCTGGTTTGGGGAGGGGCTTAGAAATAGTAAGGGTAGACGAGCCCATTGTGGCGACCTCCTCAGAAATAGCTTGGGCAATAATGGGGGGGAGAACATATGGAAGCGACCAGATAGCCCCCCGGATACTTCTGTGCATTGGGGAGCGTCGGACTACCCATCAAAATTGAGGAAGGCCGACCTGGGTAGACTTAGGACAGAATATAGGATCCCAGAGAGTGTAGATTTGATTCTCCCCGGGCCGGAAGAGAGAGCCTGTTACCCAAGGCCGGGCTGTGTGGCCATTAGTGAGGCGATCCTTAGGGTCGGACTTAGGCTGCCTATCCACCCATTCTTTAGGTTGGTGCTTAGGTCTTACGGGCTAGCCCCGACGCAGCTCAATCCGAACTCCTGGAGCCAGATGGTGGGCTCCTGGATGTTGTGGAAAGAGGCATCGTTAGGAGTGGAGATGCCCCTTTCCGTTTTCCAGACCCTCTATATACCCAAGGTTACTGCCGGGGGGGGGGGATAAGACCCGGGGTTGGTACTACCTAACGTCATGGGGTTCCCACACTCCATCCGTGATCGATCTGCCGAGCTCCATCAAGGAATGGAAGAGCTCATGGTGCTGGGCAGCGGGGCGATGGGACACAATGGAGGGGGACCCCCTGGCGCCTCTTACAGTCCCGGCGAAGTTTTCAACACTTAGTGAGTATAGTTGTTGCTCTTTTTGTTTCTCTTCGGTTCGGCTTGTGTTTAACAGTTATGCTTCCTTTCGCAGGTTCCCTTCCTCGGTGCGAGCTATCGACAGAGGACTTCGACACTCTCTGTGTCATTTATCAGCTGCCTCAGAAGAAGAGGTCCTACCACAGGCTGATCCGAAAGAACATACATTTCATCACTCACGACTTAATGGCGTCCCAAGGTAATAGGACCGAGGCCCACACTTTTTTATTCCGAACTCCCTATACTTGTATTAATTTCTTATTCATTTCTTTGCAGATAACTTCAGCAAGAAGCTGCCAGTACGCCCCGACTTCAAGACCATTCAGAAAATGATGGCTGAGGCAAAGGCGCTGAAAGCCTCCTCTTCTTCGTATAAGAAACAAATGGAGGAGCTGGTGGAGGCCAGTAAGAGGCTTCAACCTCCGACGGAGGAGGAGGTTCAGAAGGATCCGGAGGCTGACCTCCGAAGGAAGGGCAAGAAGAGTGCTGCCCCTCCCAGACGCCCAACTGTGGCGAGGCCACCCCCAGTTATGCGGCAGACAACTATTCCCACGGGGGTGGCCCTCCCCGGGAGAAGCCCCGCTGCGGCAGAGCCTGTCGCTGCCCCAGACACGGCGCCCCTTGCGGCCGTACCCATTGAACACGTTCCGGGGCAGCAGAGGAGGAAAAGGGCCCGCTCCAGCAAAGAGGTTGACTTCCTTGGCACCAATTCAGAAGAGCCCGTAAGGGAGGTGCTAGAGGCTCTCCCTCCGGAAACAGCTGCAGTGGCGGTGGTCCACAGCAAATATTGGACCGAAGAGTGGAGGGACCACACCGCCTCCTGCACGGCTGAAGACTTGGTGGCGGCGAACAGCGCCTGCGTGGCCCGGGCACTAAGCACAAGTATCCAACTCGAGGGCTTGGTGAAGGATCTAAACTCCAAGAGGGAGGACCTCGCCAAGCGCCTCGAGGAGGTGATGCACTATGGGGACGCTGTGTGAGCTGCCC